AAATGATTTGCAAATTGTGTAACGCAACTAACTTGTGGAAGTCCCCCACATGGATCTCACCCATATCAGAAACTATAAGTAGGATGCAAATTGAAAGGAAATTTAAAATCTATGATCTCAGATAACGCGGTATTTCAAACTATAAGAATTTTACCTAATTTACCCAGATCCACACAGACACAGGTCTTGTTGATGTCAAGAGAGAGCGTCACAACTTGTCTTCCATCCTTTTTCCCCTGAAATTTTGAAAATTCATTTATGCGTACGTTGGTAAATCTGTATTTTTCATACGCAAAAGATCCGAAGATCAGGTAAGAGTTTATGGGTATTGAGGAAAGCGCGAATTTACCTTTTAACATGAAATTTGTAATTTTCATAAGAATCGTGATAAAGGAGAGGGGTCTGTGATTTACCAACTCATCAAGATTCATTCCGGGCTTTGGAATAGAACGATTTTTATACATCTTCATTTTGAAGGTTGCTTTTAATTGAAAAAAAAAAGTTTCTCGAAAGTTTCTCTGAACAAAAAGAAAGAAATTTATAAGTTCATATTTTGATTTGAAACTTATCTTAGTTGCCTTGATCTCAATATAGTGTTTACGAAATGTGATGTTTTAATCGGAGTGTTATTTGTGTACTTCTCTAGCCGGGCCTAAAGATTGGGAAACTGAAATAGCAAATATGGCAAATGCCGCAGCAGTCGCTGCGACAGGTGGCTCGTGCAGTAGACGTAGCACGGCATCTTCGCCGAATATAAGTAACTTAGCCACGTTACAGCCACCACCTGCTCATCAACATGCTTCACTGGCGCGTCAATCAACGGGACAATTTAATAAACCAGCTATACCCCCTTTGAAAACACCACCTCCGGCTATAGGCGCACCCATGGATTTATCGTCCAGGTAATAGAAAAACATTAATTAAAAATGCTATTTTTAGTCAAAGACATTTTCAGCTTGCCAAAAATGAATATGGCCGACATTATGAAATCTGCTTCCAATTCGGGTGCTATCGACTTGAGCGAGGTGCAAGATTTCTCTATGGGTTCCAAAAAGCCTGCTGCTACTTCTGTAGCGTCTACAGCTAGCATCCATGCTGCTTTGAGCTCAGCATTTCCTTCTATGGCTGGTAAAGGTGGTAAATTAGATGACACTCTCAACAAGTTGATGAAAAAAAACAATTGCGTAAGAAAATGATTTTAATAATTTCTCTCATATAACGTTTTAATATAATTGCATTTTGTTAAGCAGACCATTGAAGAATCTTTAATGGGTAAAGAAAAGAAACGTAAGAAATTAGATGAAATCGTTTTGGGGCTTTCGGCGGCCAAAGAGCAAAAAACCTTTCCCGATCCTTCTTTGCCATCTTCGAAGAAGCCACAAATACCTCCTAGTGTTTCAGTAACTCCAGCTAATGTGCAGTCCTCATTAACAAATCAACAGCAAAATCAAAAACCGTTTACCATCACTGTTACCACAGTGCCTGGAAGTGAGTTCGAGTCTCTGAGTTTTTACTTAACCCTAATTTTAGTAGAAGTAAATTAAGCAGCCTAAACGCTGTTTTTACTAATATGATATTTCATCCCATACAATGTTCACATATTCGTTTCTTCCAAACAGAAGGTAAAAGTGGTGCTTCGTCATCTTCAACCCAGATATCAGCGAACAATGCCAATCCTTCGATTAGTGCTTCGGGCGGCTTATCAGCTTTGCAAAATATGGCTGGTCTGGGCGGTATGACAGCTAAAGACAGTTTGAATGCTTTAATTGCTCAAACAATGGCCACAGATCCCCAAACATTTATTAAACAACAACAGAAGATGATGCAATGCCTACCACCTGCTCAACGTAAATTATATGAAAGTATGGTCGCCGATATGGAGCAGACCATGAAAATTAAGTATGTATAAAGTTTCTTAAAATCCGATTTTCTTTTAGAATTATTTTATGGCTTTCTCATCTTAGTGCCAAATACAGCGGTCACGACACTAAAGTCAACAAATGGTTGACAGATATGAGTTCACCACTAAGTGATCAATTAAATATGGATTACGCTGCAGTAGCTGCAGCTGGAACAGGAAGTAATGTGATAAATACATCGACTAATAGTCGCAGGTCCAGTCGTCAACAAACCTCTGCCCCCAGCCAACAATCATTGCCTGCTTCACAAATGTCGGGACCAAAATCTTCTAGCTCGCTCAGTCAACCACAACAACAACATCAGTCGATGACTGGACCACAAGGTCCAACAGGAGATGAGCCAGTTCCGGTGATTAATAAGCAAACGGGCAAACGTTTAACCAGTAACAAGGCGCCGCAGCTAAAGCGTTTAATACAATGGTAAGATGTAATCATTTTTAAAGGGTAAAAGTGTGATTTCATTCTCAAATGAATTTTTTTTAGGCTAACTGAGAATCCAAATTACGAGGTAGATCCGAAATGGCTTGAGCAGATGCAAAATCCCATGTCTTCTGCTTCTTCTACCAAACCTTTAGACAGTAACTTTTCGTGCACCAATAAAGTGCAACATAGTGGGCGACCCTCGTCCACATCTGGCAACGCCTCCTCTAATAGCCATTCACAACCTCAACAACAGTCCTCACAATCATCATCTTCTTCAACATCTGGACCAACAAAAAAATCTTCGCGACAGACAGCTCTGGATCAAGCGAACGCCGCTATGCAATTTGGCTCACTGGCCGGTTTAAATCCCAATCTATTAGCAAGTTTACCTAGCTTAAGTGCTTTCGATCCAAAAAATCCTCTGTCTGCCTTCGATCCCAAAAATTCTCTGCTGTCTATGCCCTTTGCTGCCATGCCTGGCATGAACAATATAGCAGGGTTGGGCAGTCTTAACAATATGAATTTATTTGCTAGTTTAGCCGGGATGGGCGGTCTAGGAAATTTGGCTGGTATGGACACTCAATCTTTAGCTGCTCTCATGGCGGCAGCAGGACCTACTTTAACTGGGTTGGGTGGTGCTACTCCTTCAGCCAACAGCTCAGGTAGCGGTGGAAAAAGCACGCCACAATCTAGTAGCTCCTGCAAAAAGAGTAAAAATGATGTGGCCCAACAGAATGCGGCAGCCGCTGCAGCTGCTGTAGCCGCTTTAGGTGGCTCTTCGACAAACAATAGTGGCCAAAATAGTTCGAACAGCGTGAACGCCAAAAATGTTTCTGCTGCAGCCGCAGCTTCAGCATCACAATTAGCGGCAGGCTTTCCGTTCCTGTTTGCCAATCCATCCCTTCTGTATCCTCCTATGGGTATGAGCAGTTTGAATCCATATTCGTTGGGCTCCACTGGCTTGGGGTCAGCGTATGACCAATTGGCTCAACAATATTTAATGAATGGAGTGGGATCATCTGCCGGTAGTACGTCTACCTCCCAAAGTAAAGCCCATCAATCGCAATCGAAACCAACCAGCTCACGTTCATCAACTTCATCTGCGGTTGCTGCTGCCTCCGCGGCCGCATCATCTGCCGCTTCTGCAGCTAACTTAATGAATGCCATGGCTGCAAGCATGTCTGTCGCGCAAGGTGCTAACTCAGGTAGTAGTCAGTCTTCTTCAAGAGGTCGCCAAAGCGCTGCCAGTAGGACGGCCTCCCAAGTATCGGCTGAAATGATACAATTATCAAATTTGCTACTGCCCGGAGCTGATCCACACCTATTAGAATCGTTCAGTCGTGTAGCGGGTATTGATTTGGCACAAGCGTCTCGTCTGATGAATTCATTGGGGATGCCTCCTGTATCGACAGCTTCAACTTCAGTATCGTCTTCCATGCCCAGCGAGAAAAGGTCATCTTCAACGTCTAGCAATTCAAATTCTACTACAGCGGCAGCAGCTCAGCAAGCGGCTGCAGAAAAGCAAGCTGCCAAAGAACAACAAAAGTGGATGGAAAGTTTAGCAAGAGGACAATTGCCAACGGATTTAGCTTCACTACAGGCTTTGTCTCAGGGTAAATTACCACCCTCACTAACCGGTGCTACTTCTAGCAGCAATCAGTCTACATTAAATTCTGCTCCTTCTACTAGCAAAAGCGCAAAGGCGGCTGCAGCTGCTGCTGCAGCAGCGGTAGCCGCTTTACCGCAAATACCGGGTATGTCGGCAGATTTTAGTCAAGCATTCTTAGCCGAAATGGCCGCTCAGGCAATGGTGGCAGCCGGTGGCTCTTTGCCTTTAACGGGCCCCGGGTCCTTGGCTAGTCTAACTGGCAGTTTGTCTGGCTTAACTGGTGGCTCCTCAAGCATAGGCGGCAATAGTTCTACATCAGGATCGTCTCTTTCAAAACGTCAACGCGAACAAGATGCACTGGCCAAAGATGCCTTTAAACAACAAATGGATTATTATACTAAAACTTTGGGTCTCGGATCAGGGATTTCGCTTATACCTACATCGTCTGCTAACAGTACGTCGATGGGATATCCAGGAGCCAATTCTTCTGGTGCGGGTATTGATGATCATCATAAATCGAAGAGGTTACGTACAGATACCACAAGCTTGAAAGACGATTTCAGCACAGCGGCTGTTTTAGCTACCGGATTACCATTAAGTTTGGGTGGGGGTATGACTAGTATAGAAAAAAATATACGTCCATCTTCATCATCGACGTCATCTAATAATAACATGACTGAAACTGATAAAGTCACACTAACACCTTTAAATTCTGCAGGCATTGCAGCGAATCTGCCATCTCAAACGACAATAACAATAGCGCCGCCCATAAGTTCGGGTGCCAGTTCTAGTAGTGAACGTTCTGAGCGCAGTGAATCCCGTATTTCATTAACTATTACTAATGCTGCCGAGGCAGCAAAAATGCCGCCACCTTACGAAGAAGCAGACGAATTGATTATACAGCCGATATTAAAAAAACCTTCATCCCAACAGCAACACTCCACAACCAATCCGCAAACGCAGGGCAGTACGTCCAATACTTCTACGACGAGCCATGCTAATAATAATGATTTAGAACCAAATGAGTCAACGCCGTACAGTGTTAGCATAAATGGTAGTGGTAATGGTAATGTTGCGAATGTTTCGCATAGTGAGGAAACACGCCGATCGTCAGGACGTTTAAAGCGACCACGTTCAGGGGTTGATCACAGCCTAATTGCAGAACAACCTCCGGAAAAACGTAGAGAATTGCGATCCACTCGACATACACGACAATCTTCTGGTAATTCTGTTGACATTTCCCTAAACCTGTCCACCGGCCATAATAATAATGAAAACGAAGAAAAGCAAGAATGAGTTTTACGCCGTACAAGGCGTGCATCACCAAGTAAATAGTAACAAACTAGAAATAAAAATCGTTGCAAAGGAGAAGGAAAGAAAAGTGGATAACAAATGAACGTAATGAAACAGCTTGCGATGTAAAGACTATAGAAATATTATGCAGGAGTGATCGAAATTGTATACTAAAAGGAAGAAAAATAGTATGCTAAGCACATAAAAGGAGTTTGGGATAAAGTTTGAGATATAAAGCAAAAATACCACAATTACCATTAAGTAATATAGATATAAAAGGAAACAGAAACCTGTAACACATATATATATATATATATATATACTGGTACGTATGTATTTAAAGTAAATAAAACAATTAAAGCTAGATTTACTCTTAATTAAAATTATTTTTGTAAAATATAAGTTTAATAATATTATAACAACAATTTATGCTATGGCAAAGAATTAAAAAATTTAACTAAAGAAATCGACAAAAAATGGGTTACCCATCATTATCGTTGTAATAAAACCTTTTCTCAGACGATGATACTAAGCTTGTATTTTAATCTGAATTATTGTCCTTTTCTGTCTGTAGGCGAAGGGAGGCATTTTGTACTTTTGTCCATTTTTATATATTGCAATTTGTTTATAATTGACATCTTTCTTACACACGTTTGTTTAAAAACCATTCATAAAAGACATTATATATTTTTCACAAAGGGAATTTTAATTAAACAATTGTTTCTTCATGGCAGTAGTGGTATCTATGTGCTAAGCTCTCCATAAATTAAGAGCGTATTTTAATGTTAGAAAACTAGCAAACTAAATAACAAACCAACCACCACACGAATGAACGGAAGAGGTGTATGTATAGTATATACATATCTTATATAATATATACTGTCTAGACTTCAAAACTTCTTCAATCCGAGGTAATTATTTTAGGAAATAGTTCTGGAAATTTTTGTAGAATAGGCTGCTGATAACTACGTCGTTGCGCAGCGCAAATAAGAGACAATATTTGTGACTTCAAAACTTACTCTTTCCAAAAGCACTGCACTATACCTAATTTGCTTTTCTAGGGAGAAAATAACGTGGCAGTAGTCGGTTCTAATAGAATAAACAAGGTAATTGCTACTACAACATTTGCATGTTTGTTTTAAGTACTTTAAATAATTCTTCTTAATATGCTAATGTGCATTTCGGGTCAGAATCCCTTAAAAAAAATGATATACATAAAAAATTATAATTTCGCATATTTTAGCGTAATGCTTTACTCATGAAAGTGCCACATGAAAAGATTAGTGTGCTAACTTTGTCATTCCGTTTCTAAACTTGGAAACGTCCTCCGCACTTCCATAACAAATTCAATAGGTCACGTACTGAGGTTGACATAAATAGTGAAGTCATAATCCATCTGTCATATACCATGGCAATGAAATTATATTAGACAGCATAAACTTATATCCGGTAATAAATAAATTTGTGTTTTGCTCCTTTCGAGCTAGCGTTGTTGTATTAGACTAAACTGAAAGCTAAAAGCAGGGACGTACTTTAGTTAATTCTGCAGATCAAATTTGAAAACTGACGTTAATAACTGAAGTTTCCATAATATATGTTTATGAGCTTTAGCATCCATAAACATAGGATTTGAAAAGGAGATCTGTTGAAAGTCGGGTCTCATTGTAGTTTGCTAACATGAGGCGAACTTATTAAAGTAATGTGTATGTATGTAATCATAAAGCAAAGTTTTTTCCTGTTCCATTCTAAGGTAAACAGAAATCATTTTTTGGGCTTTTAAAAGAGTTGGCAAACAATTTCAATTTCAACACTTTTTCTTCGGCAGAATGTTCAGTGTTAAAAAAAATATGTAAAGGTTCAATTTGATAGTGAGAAAGCCTTGGATAACCTGTAGGAGTTATTTTAAAACTATATTATAATTATTCTTGCTTAAAAAACTGTTATAATTAAAAAAAATTATTTTTAATTATTTCTAAAAATTTTAACCACACAGCATACACGCATATATAAGTAATAGACTTTTCAAAAATTTTTTTCAACCGACTGGAAACAAATTAATCATAATTAATAATATACAAAATATTTGAGCAAAATGTCCACAAGAGCATTTACATTGTATTAAGTGAGTTACGAATTTCCAAACAATTTAAAATTAAGTAAAAAATCATGATATTAAAAAAAACATATTTAATAAGAGGTTTAAAATTGATATTGATTATGATTAAATGTGCATTCACACACATTACTAGTACAAGAATAAATTTCTTTTATTCATTGGCATTACTTGCTTGTTTTAAAATGCGTATCGAAAATAGTAATTACGACTCCATTTCGAATTCAAAATGTTTGATCATAACGGAATTTTTTTTCTTTTTCAATCGTTTTCCGTCTGTCGGAGTTGCCTACTCTTTTGCTATAGTGCAGTCCATTCGTGGTTTTATAATTGAATTGGCCGCTCCCGTAAATCTGTCTGTAATACTCGATGTCTTCAGCATTACATTGCTTCATTTTGTCTGATGCATAAAAGAATGTATTAGAGAGTTGGTTTCCGCTCCTCTTTCGTGGTAATTCACCTACGTAAGAGAGTTCTTTGACTGATTTGGCAAAGTTTCTTGAAGATAACCATATAATGCAGACGCTCCACCATTACCAGGAGTTGGTTTGCGGTTCTCGTTGTCGATCTGACTCCTTAACTATTATTTATTTTAGGTTGATAGTTTTACATAAACTAATAACGAGTATTGGATTGATAGCAGCCGAGAACGCATGATTTGTTTGTTCGATATGGAATACAACTTTTCGTATTTCCGCTTGACAGCAAAATGGCTGTCGAGTTTCATGCTGAAAGGGAAAATAAAGTAAGTATAAAAGCACATATTTAATAGAATTAATTGACATAGGAAAAAATCTCAGGAATCTTAGAAATTGTAAAATATTATAAGGAGTATTAAAATCAGATAACTAGTTTCGATGTTGTTACGTGTTGGCGCCATATGAAAATTGATAAACGAATATGGAATAAACGAAAAAATATCCGGGGATGACATGAAATGAAAATAGAACATACATCTAAGAAGTATATTTTATTGTGTGAGGGATATTACATTAAACAGAAACCTCTTAGAAGCTTATTCCGACGGTAAGGGTAGAGAATTACTCTTATCTCTGCTTTGTGTATTCACACGTCTTTCATCCGCGTTTGCTTCTCTATGTAGGCTTGTGCGCAACCATAATAGCAGTATAAAGGAATCCATAGTGATTGCTGCGTGAAATTAAATTGTTTATTTCTATTTTTCTTATATTGAAGTTAAACTTTTGAATGAATATTTATTTACTTTAGTTTGTATTTTATTTATTATCCTTTGTTTGATAGTTTTGTTCAATAGATTTTCATTTTTTCACCAATCCTTTTTATATTTGGTCGGTTATTTAATAATTTTTCTTTCTCTTTGCATTACTTTCGTTCCCTAATACACCGTTCCAGATGCAAAGAACGGCAAGCCTAACTCGATACGAGAACGATAAGAAGACCATCAATCGAAAAAGCGATCGTATTGGTTTTGTGTTTCTAACTATGCTTATATTTTCCATCAGAATTTTTAGCGTCTGCTTGTCATATATTGATTTTAGATGTTAGCTCATCAGGAATACGCCCTAATGTTTGACTGCCGGGCAAGCAAAATTAGCTTATTTCAAGACATACGCTTCGGTTTAAAGCTGCAGAGAAACTCGCGTGTTCTTTGGATAATCGTCTGGTTCTGGAATGCGTTTACATCTCACTGGAAAGAGGCTATTTTATGTGCTCAACGTTTGTCATCGTTGGTTGATGATAATGAAAAATTTTTTTTTATTATTATTATAACTTTTTAGACCAATGAAATAAATACTTAGACTAAACGGAAAAAGTTTAACAACATCGGCTCTCAACTCTATTTTAGAAAAGAAAATTAAATATTGTAAATTAATTTATTAAATTGCTATTGCGTTCTACAGGTGATTCCATGATCTCCATAGGATGAGTTCCTAGTCCATTTCTTCTAATAACAGAAAAGCTTAGGCAATCGCAACGTATGTATTTGTTTTAAGTATTTGTCCACAATTGTTGATTGGAAAAAAAAAATTCTGAGCGATCTCTTAGTGCGTTGCATTCATGTTGATTAAGACGAATTGCCGCAAATGTTTTGATTTTGATTTTGTCAATATTAGGTGCATAGAATGGAGAAACTAGGTCAGGGTTAACAGAATGTTAATGCTGTTATTGAAATCTTAGACTCGGTTCCATTAGTTTTCCTTTAACTTTCCTTCCGAAGTATCTGTGAAGGTCAAAGTTTTCCATAATTTCGTCCGTAAATAGAGGTGCACAAGCAGCAGAATTTCGCCACACATGCAGATTGCTCATTGCCCAACAAACCAATATGACCACGCACCCAAAACGTTTTAATCTTTTTATGGCGTGTGGCGATAGCATTACGTAATTTGTTAATCGTGTTCATGCTGATAGTTGTGGGGTTCCGCGTACCTTTCAACACAAACAAGCAGCAATAATAGTTTCGATTTTGTTTTTACAAGCTATTTTCATAGCTTGGAAGATAACTCTGTAGGTTCCGTTGTGAAAGTTAAAGCATTTTCGTGAAGTATGGGATTAAGAAAAACTTGCCATGAATCATATACTACGACACAAGAGGAGGTCGGCAGAGAGTCAAATTTACATCCGTCTGTATGTGAGAGATACCAACCATCCTTTCCCAATATTTGGGTATTTTCTTCAATTACATTTCTAAACACATTGTTTTCAGTGAGTTCTTTTTCGTTAATACAAAGAGGATTATTTATTACAGTAAATATTGTGCTGTTTAAAGCTGTTTTCGTAATACGTGTTGTGAATAAAGTTGTAAAATTGATTTCCTAATATGTGATGTGGATAAAAATGCTATAGCGGGACCACTGTGGATGCTTCCTGGGAGGGACTTGCATCCTATGTTTCGAAAGCTTATGAATGTTTGGTCGATGTCAAAAGTAAAATATCACATTTTTGCTCGAGAGTAAAATAGCTGTCGATAAGATAAGATAAAATATCTTGATAGAAGCACATATTAGATAAAATTAATGAACATAGAAACACAACTCAGTCTCAGAAAATGTTGGTAAAAATAACAAAATCAAATAACTATTTTCGACGCTTTTATCTATGGTGCCATAAAAACAGGGCACTGATTGTGCACCTTTTAGTTAACTAACTCTCACTTACATGGTGTACTTCGAATGGCTTTCGTTATGATATAAGTATGGCTTTCGACGTGTACGTCTAAAAAATAAAGGGAAAATAGGGATCAAACTTGACGTTGGTTTATTTAAAACAAACAATAACAAT